TTTCATGTTAGCAGGTTAGGACATCAAACAATTGTGTTCAAGTAACTACATATGATTTGGTAAATGTCAAAAGCGGTTGCATTATGTTTTTTTTTCAGTAAAAGCAGTGAACAACAACATAAAAAGCAAACCTACCTTTATTCTCCCTTGTTTAAGATGACACAACTATTACTTCTCTTGTTCCACATTTCAGGTTCCCAATTCATATAGATACATGCTGTGGTGGAATGAATATCTGCTTTACATTGTAACTGTTGCTTCCTGATGCTTCATTCACACCAGACGTGCTTTGGGCAGCTGTTTCATTTTTGATGCTTGCACACATTAAGGTCAAACACACATCAAGAGAATCTTTGATGCTCCTGAAAACATTCACTAAAGTGTGTCCAGATGCATCTGATGCTTCTGCTGCTCCTGTGTTTAATAGCAGATTTTGGCTTTGCTATATTTTCTGTGATAAATGGGTAGAAGTAGTTTTTATATATGTTTAAGCAAGAAAGTCCATCTCAGCAATAGTCTGTACAGGCAGTTCATCATGATTATGATCTTGCCTCAAAATATTATTTTGCTGTGAGAGTCGCTCAGATCCCCACGTACCAAAGGTGCAGGTGTGCTGTCATTGGGCATCATCAGCAGTAGCTGGGGGATTTGCACCAGTGTTCGTCACGGCTGGAAGTAGATGTTAGCATTTTTGAAGGTATGTGGTACAAACTGAATAATAAAAGCAAACATATTGTGCTGGCTGGTTTTGACATTTTAAGTTAATTAAGGCATTAATAAACTGTTTCAGAGGAGAGATCTGCATCAGCAGTGCTGTATCCGTCTCCCTGCCAGCTCCCAGATCAGCTTCTCTAATTGGTTAATGTGGCGCCTCGGGCATCAAAAGTTACAATTCCAACTCCAACATCTGCTGCTTGCAAAGCACGTCACATGCCTCAGCGACCTCAGATGTGTTAAGAAGCGCTTCTCCTGCTGCTCTAGATGCGCTGCAGTACCTTTTAATGCACCTTAATGCACATCAACCATAGACTTTGCATGTAAACCAGCTGCTTCTGCTGCTTCAATCCACATATCTCTATTTATTCATTGGATTGCTGATTTCCCAAAAAAAAAGTGAAGCCACCATCCGCCATGCTGGTGCTCCCCACTCCCATGTTCAGCATTTGGTTGTAAAAACAAGCAGTTTGCTGGTTGTGGGGAGTCATTTCACAAAAAACTGGATGTGCTAACCAAGAAAATCCATATATATGTCAATGTATCCTATAGTATAATATGTAGCATAACATTAGTCTGGCTATTTTGGACTGAGTCCAAGACATTGACTGAGTTAGCCATTGACATTGTGTCTAACGTTAGAAAATAGAAGGTCGAGTACATAGAAAGTAATTCACTGTGTAATGTAACTTTAGTAAATCTATATATTTTATTCTATATATTTTTCTGTTATCCTCCATTAACACATTAATGTTAATGTGATGGATTTGTATATGTCATATTGCATGATTTAGAGACTTTATTGACTTTATAATGACTATGCAATGTGATCTGCCTATTTTTTGTTATAAGTTGAAGTAATGTAATTATGCAATGAAACAGCAAGTGTGTGTCCAAGTGATGAATTTATCTTTATTTCAAAAGTCTGAAGTTCCCCTGAAAATGAGAACATCATCGTTGTTCGATGCTGCGGCGCACATATTACTTACATTGCAACCAGTCTAACTAGGGAGTACCAATATGGCAGCCGATGGCTTCACTTCAACCCTGTACTACCAACAGGCAATCAGCAATCCGGTGAATAAATAGAGATCAGTGCTTCAGTGGTGTGTGGTGTGAGCGTAGCATCAAAGTTTTAACTCTCAGCTAAACAGAGGAGAGTCCAATTCTCCTAAAAGATCCTGCTTCTAGAGAATTGACCAGCACGTTAATAGACTATATTTCATTAAAAACTAAAAATTCTCCTGGTAAACTAATTTGTTTTTATTTTTTGGGGGGTGTTTAGCAATACTTTTTCCATTTGGGTTTTCTCTACTATGAAACAAAACATATTTACCTCTAAATGATTTCAATTTGTTTATAAAATTATTATTATTATTATTGAACGGACCTTAAGCTGTGTTATACTAATTGCTCACACAAGGTAAATTAAACTACCTGAAGGAACCAAGGTTATCTAAACCTGCTAAGAAATACAAAGTTAGTCTTACTGATCTCTGTCGATACCAAAAGAGAGATGAGACCAAATATGAGAGAAAAGCAGCTTTGCTTTTTATTCAACAAGTCCTGCTTTAATCAACTTTTGAAGAAATTATTAATGAATGCTGATAATTATCACTTCAGGTACAAGGCAAACACAGACAAGCAGGTGTTGGTGCTGAAGTTCACAGATCTGGATGGCGATGGGATCGGTATGATCAGGTAGAAAAAAGATTTTTAGATTTATATGATGAAAAGTAGAAACTTTGTCTTCTTTTAAAAATTAAAAACAAGTTTAACAAGATTAGATAATCTGTTTGGGTTGTTCTAGATTTGTGTACGAACTAATCAGAACCTGAACTGCTATACTTCAGAGAAAAGCCCATCTTATGTTTGTGATGGTATCTGTAAATAATCTGCTATATTTCACTCTGAAATACGCATTAAATAAATGCACCAGATTTCAATCTTTTCAGTGTAAATGGGTCGAGAATCCCAACTCTTCTGTCTAACTTCTGTAAAACTTATATATATGTTGATAATAAAACAAATGTATTAAGAAATAAAACAAGCAGATCCTAGCTACTTTTTGGTCTAACCATCTTACTTCTTTTCTGCCATAAAGTGTTATGTTTCTGTCACAATAGATCATTACTTTTCAATTTTTTTCTAAAACAAATGTGGAACTTTTTTTCATGTCAAACAACATTTTTATTCCCTGGTTCAGTTGGGTGTTTGAATATAGATAACTGTTAATAATCCTCTTATTCTTCTTTATCACAGCTGGTTTGCTGTACATGCTGTCAGCATGAACTACACCAATCGCATGGTGAGCAGTGATAATATGGGTTATGCTTCCTACCTACTGGAGAGTGACAAGAACCCTGGAGAGCTACCTGGACAGGTACTGGAATAATTTTTCCGTTTTTTAATAGTAAAGCTTTTAATGACTTTTTTGTGAACCTTATTTTGTAAGGCCATCTCTCACCTGACTACCCTTTGTTATAAATAGCTGGTAACTTACTTTTTCTAATAATAGATATTTTTTCACTTTTATTTTGCCAGAAGTTTTTTGAGGTTGTTTGATTACACTCTGTCCGAAATGAAGCTTAAAACTGAGAATTTCCAGTTGTGGCCCCTTGACTCTAGAACTTTAATGATGCTATTTATGCTCCTTTAAGTATTTGTTTAAGAAGCAACCAGACAGCGTTGATGTTTTAATTGACTCCACTGCATTTTACCTACTTTGAAATCCAATGAAAGACTATTACTTTTACATTTAAGCTGAAATAATATATTTCTCTTCGTATTATTTGAAAACATATATTTGAAGCTTTTTGACCATATCTTTTTGTTCAGGGAGGTTTTGTTGCTGGTTTCTCCTCCAGTAACCTTGGTGATGTCAGTCCAAACACCAGAGGACCTTATTGTGTGAACACTGGGCTTCCCTGTGACTATCTTAATAGTTCTTGTCCTATCGGAGGGGTAAAAAACAATCACACATATACAGTACAGAAATAGACAACAACAACTGCTGACAATATAAGCTGAACTTTGTGTTTATCCCTTTCAGACTAAAATGTGTCAGTCGTTTGGGCCAGGAGCAGACATGTTTGACAGCACACAGATTATTGGTCACAACATCTACATGAAGGCTAAAGTAAGCTGTTAAATTGGTAACTAAAAAATATATATAGGTTGTAATGAAGAATTTGTTTACTTTCAAAGAAAGTATACTGGTTATATCACTGTTCTTAAGAAAATGGCTGTCGATGTCTGCTGCTGCCCCTTACAGGAGCTGTATGCGAACGCAGTTGACGAGGTCACTGGTCCAGTTCGGTTTGCTCATCAGTGGGTCAACATGACAGACGTGACTGTTAAGATCAATGACACGCACACGGTCAGAAAAATTACACAATATTTGCTTTATCGTGACAATGTAGAACAAGACACATTTATTGGAGAAGTAACTCTCTTAGATCATACAAGTCAAGCATTACCGTCTGTCTGTCTGTCTGTCTGTCTGTCTGTCTGTCTGTCTACCTAGGTCAGTACATGTAAACCAGCTATGGGTCACAGTTTTGCTGCAGGAACAATAGATGGAGGAGGAGACTTGAATTTCACTCAAGGTATTTCCATCTTATTGCTATCCCAATGTCTCTGATATGTCAGTCACATTTTTAGTCACTAAGCTTCTGTCTCTCACTGTGTGTGAAGGTGCTGTTGAGGGAGACCCATTCTGGGATGGGATTAGGGATGCTCTGCTGGGCCCACCATCAAACGAGACACAGAAATGTCATCATCCCAAACCAATTCTGATCAGCACAGGCGAGGTGAGGCAGAGCAGATATAAAGTCCAAACTTGTTGATTTCTTTAGAGGATTCCACCTGTTGCCAAAGTGAAAGCTTGCCTCTCTAACTATGCTTGTGAAGGTTCCCAGTCATCCAGGTCATAGTTAATCCAAAAAAAAAAAAAAAAAAAAATTAAAGAAATCCAATGGACTTTGTTTGCAAGCTTGATGACGTTTTGCTTCCCATCCAGGACGCTTTTTCAATTCAAAATGTCAGGAATAGTGTTTAGTTATTTCTGACATTTTAAGTGCCCCCCCTTTCAGACATTTATGGGGCTAACAATGAGAAGCTAAATGACCCCCATTCCAAAGGGGTGGACCCATTTGTCTGTTCCAATTTGCATGTTTTCAATACAAAAACAAGACTTTGTTGGGCTTCTGTATAAAACCTCGAACTCAACACTATTCCTGGCATTTTGAATTGAAAAAGCTTCCTGGATGGGAAGCAAAACGACTTTTAACTTGGAAACAAAGTTTTTAATTTTTCTTTTTTTGGACTGACTAACTAGTTTAAGACTGTTCATGTGAAGTTTCAGTCACCCTGAAATGTTTGTCTCTCCACTGTGCAGATGAACTGGCCCCTTCCATGGCATCCTCAGATTGTGGATGTTCAGATCATCGTCATCGGATCTGTAGCAGTTCTAGCTGTCCCTGGAGAAATGACGTAACATGTTTTACTTACAATTTCACTACCAATAAGGAAACTGAATGAACACTCACTTTGTTGATATGACTGTTGCTTATAGTCTGTATTTCTGTGGCTGTTTCTAAAGCACTATGTCAGGGAGGCGTCTTCGAGAAGCTGTCAAAGAGGTGAGCAGCAGCAAGGACACTAACATTGTAAAGCTTATTACCAGGCATTGATCTAAAGATCTTACTCTGTTGTTTATCAGGAGCTGAAGTCTTCAAGTACTTTCAAAAACACAGAGGTGGTGATTGCTGGACTTAGTAACATCTACACTCACTATATAACCACCTACGAGGAGTACCAGGTATGTGTCTGCTTATCCATCAGAGATGTGGTCTTTGCATCACTTTGAGCTAAGGGAACAAATTTTGCTGATGTTTCACCACGAACTTTATAAACTAAGTATTTTGTAGTCCTGTTTTTTTCACCAAACAAATGTACGGCTGCATGTTTCAGGTGCAGCGTTATGAAGGAGCATCCACCATCTATGGCCCACACACGCTCACTGCTTACCTGCACAAGTTCCGTGAACTAGCCAAAGCCATCGTCCAGGTGTGTAAGGCAATCAATAAGTTTAATGCTTTAAGCATATGGATATTTATCATGATCCTTTCCTGGTTCTTATTGCATCGCCGACACATTTTTCATTAATGTCTAAGCTTAGCCATCATTTAAAGGTCGGAGGAAAAGGTAAGTATCAGAATCAGAGGACCCAGATAAAAGGAGCAAAAATCTAGTATGAATAAAAAAACAAAAACAAAGTAGTAAATTGAAAACTACAAAAATGAGTTTCCTAACCAAGAGAAACTGACTTGAATTAAGAATATTGATTTAACAAATTCAGATATTAGATGTTTTCACTTATTAAGGCCCTTTCTTAATAAGATAATTTTACTTATTTTAAGTTATTATTTCTAGAGCACTCTTTGATAGCTTTTATAACTTATCTTAGGTAGATTTGATACAAAATCAAGTTATATCATGCATGCAGATACCAAAAACAATGATTAGTAAGACATTTTTTCTGTCTTAAGTTTTTAGTCTCAAGGTGTGATCTTCTACACTGGAAACACGATCTAGAAATAAGTAAAAATTCCTTAAGTTAAGTGTATTTACCCTTAATTTCAGTAGGTAAATGAGATGGTTTGCCAATGGAATGAGTATTTTTACTCTTAAAAATAAGATAAATACCGTAAATCCTCTAATATTGGCCTGTATTCCATTAGCGGCCGGGTTTCTAATAATGACCTGTCTCGCTGTCGGTGGAGGTAAATAATGCACTTGAAATAAGACAATGCAATTTATTTTTCTTATTTTAAGCGTAAATTGTCTTGTTCTTGTTCTTGTCCTTTATCCAAGAACAAATGCACTTATTTTAAGAAAAAATTACTTATCTAGATTTCGTTTTTTTCCAGTGTAGCATTACCGTTTGCTTATCAGAAAACGGGAATACAAGTAGCAAAGATGGAAGGACAGCTAAACACTAAAAACATGGTTATGTTGGGAATGTGCCCAGGCTTTGTCTATGTTTCTAATTTAAAAAAAATGTACAAATTGATGTTAAGACATCTAGATTTTGCCAAAATGAAAGAAAATGGATAACACACTGAACATTGGCAGTATCAGTTTATTTGCTCTTCTCTGTTTTTTCAGGACAGAGTGTCAGAGTTGCCAGTTGGTCCTGAGCCTCCCTTCTTTACAAACGTTTTTAGTTTAATGGGTACAGCAGCGGCGGACGGGAAACCTGAAAACACCAGCTTTGGAGAGGTTCTGGAGCAGGTTCTTCCACTCTATAGACAGGTAGGACACCTGAATGGTATTTTTCAAAGATTTTTAGGCCTAATGCCGGTTTTGTTTCTCTGGGTCTGTAGCTGTCATTCTTATGTACCTTTAATGACTCCAAAAATAATTCACTGACTCAATAAATCTTTTACTGTTTTAGCATAAATTATCTAGCAGCTCAATCGTTTAATTTCTTACCTTTAACTTTTAAATAAGGCTTGTTTTAAGAGAACAATTGTTACATGTTACAAATTAATTCAAAATATTATATGTAGCCTAATTAACTGTCAATATTTCTCCAATAAAATGAACGCAGATATTAAACCAGCATTTCACCCTGACAACTTTATTATACTCAAAGTAAATCCAACTGTGAAGATACTGTATGGTTTAATGCGTATATGCAATTTCAGTGTAAAATTAACTGCATTTCTGTCTTTTTTTTAGGGAGATGTTGTCTCAGTCACATTTGTTGCAGGAAATCCTCGGCATTCAGGAGACATTGTAAGGAGAAAGCATTTTATTTTGAAATATTAGAGTTTTCTCAATTTGTTTCCCTTTGTTCTATAATGTCGATTGTCTTACAATTAGCTTTTCTTCCTCTCTTACCTCTTTGTTTCTTTGTTCCGTTGCAGAGAGATAAAACATTTGTCACCGTGGAAATTTATGATAATAGAACAGAAACCTGGGAGGTTGTTTACAATGATGCATCATGGGAGACCAGGTTGGTTTACATACAAATATTTTAGTGAACAAGGAGATCAAACCCTTAAATCTGAAATCACATTTGGAGGAAAGCAGAGTGGGGCAGCGGAAGCATGCTGGGCCTATAACCCAGAGGTCGGTGGACCGAAACCACCAGATTTAAGCCTGCTCAAAAATGAGCAGTGACATTTTGGGGGAGTGGCCGCCTAGTGATTATAGGGCATAGAGCTTGGAATCCTGAGGTTCTGAATTCGAGCCCCACTCCCACAAGACTGCCGCTCTACTGTAGGTCTCTGAGCAAAGACCCTTAACCCCACACTGCGGCCCGGCACCCCACAATGGCAGCCCACTGCTCCCCAAGGGGATGGGTTAAATGCGAAGGTAAATTTCTCCAATGTGAGATCAATAAAGTTCAATTATTATGATCAGGAATGGAATATTTAGCCATGGCTCAGTCAAACCATTCTGTATGCTACCCATTTAATCAGAAATGGGATTTGTTTCTTGTTTTAATTACCAGCCTAGGGTCCTTCTGCATGGAGCATGTTCTCCCCATGCATGCATGGATTATCTCTTTGTACTAACGTTCCTTCCACAGTCTAAAAATAATAATATAAGGTTAATTAGTGACAGGAAATTGCCCTTATAAGGCTGTGGATATGTGTGAAAACATTCATACATGGACAGAGAGTCACATCATTCTATCACCATCAAGCATGTTGCCCTGTGAGAAACTGCTGATGTGTCCATGGTGTACCCAGCCTTTCAACCATTGACTGCTGGAGATAGACACCAGCCCCCCTGCGGAAGAAGATAGATGGTTCAGTGTAGAGGTTTTTTTTTTTCTGATCTAGTTAGTTTGGTCATCTTCAGGAGGATTAAATATAATTTTGTTTTACCTGATTTAGTGACATTAATGTACAGCTTTTAAGCTGGAAATGCTTGAAATCTTTGTCTTCTGTTTGGGCACATGTTATTTAGGGACGTTGCATATTTTATTTGTGGGACAGACCATAAATTAGATTTCACTTAAGTTTCTGAAAGCTTGAGCCAGAACTGAACCCCAGTTATTTTTGCAGGTTTCACTGGCTGAAGGGTTCAAATCGAGAGAGTAACGCCACAGTAGAATGGCACATCCCCCAATCAGCTCCTACTGGCTTCTACAGGATCAGACACTTTGGGCATTACAAAGAGCTGCAAGGCCTGAAACCCATCATCACACCATATGAAGGCTCATCCGATGTCTTCACAGTCACGTCCAACTATTATTACTCAGATAACTGACTTGTTCACAACCACAATTCCACATCATAGGAGAACCAATCGCCTCGTGGAGCCTCTATAAAACTTTCAGATTTATTTCATCAACACCTCAGAAAACTTTGCCCTGTATATTAAATGAATGAGCCACAGCAAAATTTAAAACTGCCAGTTTTTTTTTAAATAAGTTATTAAATATAAACCCATATCTTTGTATTTCAATGAGTTGTAAGTCATGATTCTATTTCTTGTTTGTGGTTTATGCATGATTCGTTTCCATATAAACATATTGAACCTCATATTTCCTGTTTCATTTTAGCAGAGTACATCCAGTTTGTATTTGTGATGGTTTTATGGATGCTTTTATCTTGTTATTGAAGGTTTTCCTTTTATTTAACAGTCTCATCTTAAAACTATATTCTGGATGTTAACCTTAAAGGTGGCGTACAAGATCTTTTTAACACATTTTAATCACGTGGCTCCCCACAGCCGCATAGCAAGCAGTGAAATAGAACGTCTGAAAGTGAAACGAATAAAATGGTCCCCGCTACAGTATGAAATCAATGAGTAACACTCACCAATCACAAAACACGGTCCGTGGTCCACTATTGGTTCCTAAAGCGTCAATCATGGTCATCTGCTGGGACTCCCATTCAACAGCAGCCTATGCCCCGTTGCCTCCTCGTGGTTTGCCACAGCAGCTGGAAGGCGTTTTTCATGTATGTAATCCAAACTGCAGGCACCAGGATAATAAAAGCGAACGTGTTTTGCCGGCAGATTTCGGGATTTTAAGTTAATTTAGGCGTTAATAAACTGTTTCAGAGGAGTATACAGTATAGTGCTCTGTATCATCAGTATTTGTCTCCCTGCCAGCTCCGAGATCAGCGACGCACTGCGGGACCTTTTGTTGCGCCGTTATGTGCGTCAACCATTGACTTTGCAGGTAAACTAGCTGCTTTTGCTGCCTCTGCTGCTTTTGGTGTGAACGTAGCATTATGATGTTGTGAGCTTGTGTCACGTGCGCTAGGTCTCGGCTTGTTTCGTTCTCGATCTGAACCGAACAGCTCGACAGACAGCATGCACGCTCATGTGTTATGAAGGTGTGGTTTCGAGGGGTGGTCTGAAGGGAGATGCATGGTTGTGTATTTTCAAAAATATAGCTGTTTTTCCAAGATTTCCTACGGCACCTTTAACTAAGAATGAAGTCAGTTACAAAAAGAACAAAAGGACAAGCCAATATTTATAGCAAAAATATTTATTTTAAACTTGTCTTTATAGAAATATCTCAGCCAGACCAGGATTATAGATTACAGGAACAATATTAATCAACACAGCAGCATGAATAAGGTTACTACATCAACACTGACGTGTATTCAGCAGTTTAAGGAAGTCAGTAGACAACTGAACCTCAGTCAAGTAGAACACATTTCAGGGTACAGAAGACTACAAAGGTTCCTTTGTACATAACGGAAACCACACACTTTATTATGAATATCTTACATGAAACAAACCAACACATGCTTTTCACCGATCAGGTTTTACTTTATAGTGTTTTTTTTTTTTTATGTTCAAGTCAGATGTCATATTTATATAAACACCTCAGAAATGATTTGTTGGTGTTTATTTCTACAATTTTATTTAGCACAGAATAGTAGAAATGCATCATGGTTTGAATCTACTTAAACACTGACATTACTGATGTAATGGTTGAAAATTGAGTTTTGCAGCCTCTGGAAGCCCTTTTCTACACCTCACACATTCACAGATTATTTACAGATTTTCATCAGCACTTAATCTATTTTATGTTCAGGATCCAGATGGAAAACTAACTTTTACCAGAAGGATTATAACAGTTTGCATACTGACTTTGGGTGAAAAAGATTTCCCTTGTTGGATTTAAAGTGCGCTGAGGTAATTAATCATGCATCTCTGTTCATTCAGTAGTCGCTTTAAACACTGAGTGATGAATATTTAACTGCACCTAAAGTGACTTCACAGTAATAATCAAACATGGTTCTACGTTTTTGGTTTTAAATTATATAAGGAAGCAGCTATTAAGGATTAAAAGCAATTAGAAATATTATCGTTTCATTATATTTATTTTTTCCTTTATGTTGTGTTGTTTAAATAACAGCTTCATGTTAATATTAATAATAACACTGGAATTATTAAAGGCACAAATGATGAACTATGATTGAAAAATATAGACGTATTAAATGCATGTGGCTTCACCTCACAGTCGGATAGTAATCATTGCCTTCATTTTTTTTTTTTTGCGGTTTGCTAGAATTTAAATTCAATTTCGACCATAAACATGTAATAACAAAAGGTAGTCCCCTGTGTTATTTTCAAATGTAAACAAATGGTCTCTTTTTTTAAGCACATGCAGGTAAATTAAATGGGAACATTAAACTTTATATCATAAAAGACTTTATCTTTCAGCAGTTGGGGAAGATCTAAATAGTATCTATTTGCCTTTTTAAGACAGAGGCAGTGATGACAATCTACATAATTTGATATAGTATTCATTTGGTGATTCTGTGCTTTTTTTACTCACTAAGCATTATATTTGTTTTACACCATTTCTGAATGATAATTTTCTTTTGGCAGATATTGGATTGAAAGATTGGGTTGTCATACGCAAATAAGTTATTATTAATCATTAAATATTGAAAAAATTTTACTTTTTACTTTCTAAAATCTTAGTGCAAAGCTTATCTCCTCTCAGCAGTGCTGTAAATTTTAAAAAGTTTTCCTCGCTAGTTGTCTGTTGTAGCCCAACCACAAGGGAAGTATTTCCCTCAGACCATCTGAGCTTTCAACCTACAATAGCACACCTACAGAGGTTTCAGTTGTCATTTTAACCCTTTGTTTATTCTTCCATTTGCTTTGATTTAACATCATTTGGTAATAGGAGAAATTTCATAAAGATGGAGTAACCACCGCTACAGCCACAGAGTAGGCTTTGTTGAATAAAATATGTAATTAATGTGTGGCAATTGTTAGAGACCACAAAAATAAAGTTACAAAATGAAACATTATTTCTGGAGCTACTGTCTTCACACCAAAAGAAGCTATCCAAATCAAACAGCACCACTTCAGATAATAACGTGGGCCAAAATACATTTTTTCTATGTAAATTTTTGTCATCTTCATGTGGTAAAAAAAAAGTTTGCATTTTATCCATCTGGGACTTCATTGTTTCTAACCTTTATCACAAATCAAAGTTTACTCAGACCAGTTAACTCTTTCTAGAAAAATCCCATATTTCCCATATGCATGAGATGAAAGAAACATTTGCCAATAACAAATTGATCCTTTACTGGAGAGGAAATCATGACTGAAGCCTCACTAATATTAAAATGGGACCAAACAGGTGTTGAATTTAAGGGCAATTTATGGGTATAAAGCCATAATTCTCTAGACATACATAGTACATAGAGGGAGTCTGGTTTGGGGACAACAGAATTTGTTGGTGCTGATGTTGTTCTGCTGGTATTCTTTAGCCAAGGCGGAGGGCAATTACTGCCACACATGGGGGAGTTTAAGTATCTTGGGTTCTTACTCATGAATTAGAAGGGAATGGAGTGAAGATCAAAAGACAGATCACTGCGGCTTCCTCATTAATGCATATGTTGCACAGTAGAGACTGACACGGGAGTGGATTTTCACTCCTGTCCTGTCCCACTCCCACAGAAAAAAATTGTGTCCCGTTCCGATCCCGGGCCAGAGTAGAACTCTAAATCCTGTCCCGTCCCACTCCTGGTGAAATTACTCCCACTCCCATCCCACTCCCATTCAGAATGACTCCCGCTCCTGCTTCACTCCCATTCTTATTTTTTTTTTGAGCGCGGGTGAAAAACTCAGAGCAGAAGCACTGTTGGTTTTTGGGTCGTGTAGTTTTTTTGACTCGCATTATAGTGTAGGCTTTAAGGAAAAAACCACAAAATGGCGGCGCCGCGCCAGTGCTGGATTTTTTTTCTTTCTATTTTATTTTTTGGCATCGATCCTAGTTTTTTTTTAGTTATTATTGGTTTGCTCCCGCTCCCGTCTGCTCCCGTTAATGTTTAATCCTGTACCGTCCCAATCACGTGATCGTTACTAAAAATGTCAGTCTCTACTGCACAGGTCTGCTGTGTTTAAAAGAAAGCTGAGCGTAAAGGCAAAGCTCTTGATTTACTGCTTGGTCTACGTTTCATTCTTTAATACAATTTGTTATGACCGAAAGAACGTGATCCCGGATACCAGAAGATGGAATACTTTTCTTTCATAAGGCAACTGGGCACTCCCTCAGAAATAGAATGAAGAGCTTTGCCATCTGGAATAAGCCCAGTTTAGAGCTGAGATGTCTCGGACATCTGTTTCAGATGGCCCTGGACGCATCCCTTTGTAGGGGTAACAGGCATGTCCCACTGGGAGGACACACTAGGGGTTAAGCCCCTTTGCCGGCCTAGGATACCAGTGGACTTTCCACAGAGGAGTATGAGAGGGTGTCTGAAGAGGGGGAAGTCTTGGTATCTCTGCTGAGACTGCTGCCCCAGAACCCTTCCCAAGGTAAGTGGAAGATGCCAAGTAAGAGTATGGTAAGTCTGACAATTTAGACAGTTTAGCACTTTAGCATCATGTAACTCCCCATAAACATGTTTTCCATTGATCATGGTCATATTCAACAACTCTTTGGACCCATTGTACAAACTTGGTGAACAGATTTCCTGCCACTCATGTTGACACATAGCAACATTGCTGTGGAAGAATACTGTAAGTGGATTCTGCTATATGTTTGATATCTGAGAGGTCAAAGGCAAATCAGGTGGAATACCTGAAAAAGGTTGAAACACTTAAAAAATATCAGAATATGTGGGAAACATGTCAGAATCATATTCGAACACATCAGAAACACGGCTATCTTTAAGATATATAATAGGCTCCTGTCTGATATATGGCACACATTTTAACATCTGATACAGGTTTTTTTCTTGGTTTACTTCTGTGTTGTTTGTCCTCAGGGGGTTTTAGTAACATCCTGTTTGCTGAGCAGAACTTCCAGCAGTCGTAGCTTTGCTTTGAGCTGTTTGTATTCCTGGTATTCTTCCTTTATCGGAGTACGATCCTCCTTTTGGCAGACTCTGTTGGATAAACAAGTCCTAAATGTCAGCGCAGTTGTGGAAAATAATAACCGTCCTGATTACTTAAGTATGTGTCATAATCATAATATTCAGGATTACTCCAAGTTTTTAAAAAGTACCTAAAGTATTTTAAAGAACAATGCAAGGTTGTGTACTCTGTAAGCTGAATTTGATGTTTATAAATTACAGTAGGAAGTATATTTTTCCACAGAAAAAGGTTGCAGGTTATACAGTATGTGTTTCAGTGTTTGTCTCTCAAATATTTAAATGTCTGAAATATTTTAATTAAAACTAAATACTCTTTAAAAGAAACACTGACTACTTCCATTTTGATGGGTGTATTTTTATGCCCCCCCCCCCCCCCCCCAATTCTAACACTTAGGCTAAAAAGCACATTTCAAGATGTGATACACACATCTATTCTACTTTGCAAACTAAGCAAAGCCAAAGGTGGACACAATCTAGGAAAATATGTTATAAATTGACAATAGTGATTTACAATGACTTCTTGCAAATAGTATAGAGTAAAAAAAAAAAAAAAAAAAAAAAAAAAAAAAAAAATTTCAGGTTTTTTAAAGGACCCATTACTAAACAACACACACCTTCTGAGTTCTAAGGCATGTTTTAAATTAGCAGGATGTGAAAAGAGGTGGGTGGAGTTACATAGGAGTTTAAGGAGGGTTGAGCAACACTAAAATTATCAATAGTAGCATGAAAAAACCTTGTTACACATCTCTTTTTAACACTATTTGGTGTTATTTGACTTCCCATTCTGGAGATTGGAGTGATATCACAGTGCTAAGTTTGCACCTCTAAAATTTCCATCTTTTCAATTTCCACACAAGGTGTTTCTCCTGCTTCATCAACTTTATCGCACCTCAGAATTTTAGGGATTCATCTGTGTTAGTGTTTCAGCTGCTGTCTTAGCAGGCAACACAGGAGAGTCTGTGAGGAAGAACTCAGCTGAACTAATTAGGGTACAGATATCTGTTTAAAAATGTAAAAAGGCTTAATTTGTTGGTAGAAACTCAACTAAGGTTATCAATAATATGTGCCTTGAAGCGGATTCAGAGCCATTTTCTGGATTCGAACAACAATATATATATTTTTTGTGTATAGATATGTTCCGTGATCATTAAGGGAAAACATTACAATAGAGGTAAAACTTCTATCAACTGCACAGCCATAGTTACTTATATACTGTAGAGTGAGAACATTTCCAACAATGCTAGCTTACATACCGTCCAGTCTGACGGTAAAACTCATCCTCAAACTCCCTAAGAACTTTCCTTCTGATCTTCTTCTCAGCTCTTGTTTGCCGCAAACACTCCAGCAGCTGAGATCTGAACCAACAGGAGGATAGAAGAGTTAAATGACTAGTAGCTCTGTTACAATATGCTTAAATTAAGAATGCAGGTTTTCTGCCTTCTTAAAGGATGCAGAATATGATCTTGTATAGACAGACCTGGAAGCTTCATGAAGGTTGGCAGTGGTGAGAGCAACCTGCTGACGCATGGCTTTCACCTCATCTATTGGGGACACAAAGGCGGGGTCGCTGTCCCGGTCACTGTCTTCTTCACTGGCCGCTGGCCATGTCACCCTGCAAGGAGGAAGAACTGGAACATCACTAACCAACGACGAGCTCAAACATTCTTCATCCGAACCCTCCTCTTCCTCCTGAGGGACAGAAAAGTAAAAGGCCTTAAAACCTCTATTCGTCAAACCAAATGCATTTTATATTCATCACATTTTGCAATAAAAAAACAATCAAACAAAAAAACAAAAACACATTACAACAAAAGAGGTGTGATAGATGGTAAACCAGTCAAGGTTGCATACTTCCTCTCAACCATGAATGATTTTCTCAAATATATTCAAACTTATCAGCATTATACTTTTCTGCAAACTTAGCAAAATATGCTAGTGTTTACTCTAAATTTGTGTTTTCCTTTGTTGTTTTTTTTGTTTTTTAACTGGGTAAGCAGTCTTTAAAGTCTCTAAATATTTACATAGCCCCAATCCTAACCTATAAAATCTTTCCAAGTTTAGATGAAGTAAAGTTGCTTGGGCTTATAGGGTCTAAATTAGACATTTGTATCCAGATGCTCATATATGCCATAAAACTGTCACAGTCTTGGTTCTGTTATGTTTTCTTTTGAGTATTCAGTTTAACTTTCCTCAATGTTTTCTAGTTTCATTGGTTTAAGTTTTATTTTGTTGTGTTTGCTGGTTATATTTCAGTTCTCAGGTTTTTATGTGTTGCTCTCTGTTGCCCTCTTGCGTTGGACTCCTTTCCCCCTAGCTCGTTAGACTGCCCTTTTCACACCTGCTCCCAATCTACTCGTTAGTCCTTTCTTTGTTCAGTTAGCCATAAATACTTTCCTTGAGCACTTCCTCAGTGCTGGTTCCTCGTCTAACTCCGTCTTACCCGGCTTCCTCGTGATTGTTTTCCCCTGATGTCTCCATGGCTCTGGTTTGTGTTTAATTTTTACGTTGAATTTTCAGATTCCTGTTTAGTTAAAAATTTTTCAGTTGGATTTTTGGATTCTTGTTTTTGCTACCAGTGATCACCCATTAAAGTACAAGAAACTCACCTCTGCCTCCCTGCCTCTGCATTTGGGTCCTCAAACCTCAACCAAACCCTGACAAAAACAACTCATTATCTAACAGTAGGTCAGTAGGTAAAAGTAAAACGTTTTGAATTTCTTTTTTTTTTTTTTTTTTTGGAAATATGTATTTTTTTTTTTGGTAAACTGATAACTTAAAGAGATAAAAAAACTAAATCTGATATATAAAGGTATAAACCAAAGTTTAACTTAAAAAAATACTTTTGTATCCAAGATGTACCACTTTTGACCTAGATGTGTGTAGATCAGATGTAGTTCAGGAAAGTTTTTGTTTCTGATTTTTTTTTTTTTTTTTTTAAGTAGTGAAACAGGTCCAGAAATTTTCTTATTTGTTTTTTTTCTTACTATTGTGGTGATTGTTGGGCTGGCACACAGTAACCGTTTGATCATCTGGTATCGGTCATAAAGAGGCTTTACCAAGTTCTTCTCCTGTTTTGTTCCCTGGTGGATAAACAAGAAAAGAAAATTGACAGAATTTTGAAAATTACAGCATTTTGTCAGCATTTCTGCACACATTTGTAGAACAAAATAATGTGAAATGTTAGAGCATGGAAGAGTCTCTACTGGGACCTTACCGGTTGGCCATGAACACTCTCGAAATACAGCAGACATTTCTGCAGTGTAATCTTCTCCAGAACCATCTGTGCCTGTGTCATCTCCTGTTGACCAACATTAACAGACAGCAATTCAAACTAGAGTTATGCAGATTACATGAGAAACTGTGATAGGCTTTGAATTAACACCAACCTTTATGTTGTCAGGGAGACCCAGTGACTGCCTCTTTTCTCTAAGACGCCTGAACAGAGACTCCACAGTTTCTTCCAGAGATGGTTTGTGGTCCGATGTCCCCTGCTGGCTGAAGCCCGATCTGGAGATTAAGAGTGAAGAAACAACGGCAAGAACAAAAATATTCAAAAGATTTGTTCATTTAGTTAACATAGTAAGAAATGCACATTTAAATCTCTGTTTTTATTTCTTATAGTTTTAGATTGTGAAAAACCTGACACTGCTCAGTCATAATGCTCTGTTTTGTCTAAATAAATATTGCTGGCACAACAGATAAGAAAGCCCACACTGTCCCCATGACCCAGCAACTAAAGGTAGATGTAAACAGTGGATGAAAACATTGCAACCTGGAGGAGTTGCTGGTTTCATCTTCTTTCGACTCAAACACTGACTGTCGAAGTCTCATCTCTGCAAAGGAAAGAATCAAAAATAAAAATATGCTCAATTACATTCACGTCCAGAACAGTGAGATAAAAAGAAACTTTGGTTCTGTAGATTGATATCCACTATTAACACAGTCATAAAAACCCTGTAGCTGCTGTAATAATTTCATTTTATTACATTGGCTTCTATTATTTGTAAGTTCTTAGCGGTTTCAGATTTAAGGTTATCAACCTGGTTATTCTTGCTTAAATTAATTTTAAATTCACTTCTATTCAGTTTGTCCAATTCACCTGTCATTTAAAGGCACTTTACAGAGACAATTAAACCAGGTCATACAGTCAAATTGATTCAAAGTTTTCTATCTAAGGAAAACCATCTGATTGCATCGACTCATTGACTCAAAGGCAATCCCTCACGCTAAGCATGCTTCTAGCGACAGTGGAGAGGAAAACTCCCTTTTAACAGGAGAAACCTACAGCAGAAGTGGTGGTATTTTTATCACAGTTTAAGTCTCTGAAATGCAAAGATGTAGATGATTTTCAGTATGGCAGTAAATGTCTGAGAAAAGCACTGATTAAAAGATCTTCCCAATAAATCTCAAGAGTTTGAAGACTTCCAAGAGCAGCCTACTATAAGCTTTGATCCCTCAGACATCAAGAGCATTTGATTATCTAGATTTAATTAGTTGGTCCAGCTCTACAAAACAGTATCATATTCACAAACTAAACAGTACAAAAAGAATCTCAACTTGTGTGTGGGTGTGTGTGTGTGTGGGTGTAGTAGCAGAATCAGCTTTCAGGGCTTTGGAGAAACTTGAGATGCACAGTCACCCTGAGAGAAAATACTCTGTGGTCATATGGATCAATAATGTTGATGTTTGTTGGAAAATTAGCCTCCTGCCTATTCTAAGCAACAAGTGGCACTGATGCAGAAAAATCTAGCCGAAATGTCGGTGCATGCTGCCTTAGAGATCATATCATTTCCATGGAGAGAACTGATGCATTATTAACGAAGACAATAGAAAAGCAGTTTTCCAATTAAAAAGGCAGGAAGATGAGAGAACTACATACTATTATTTATTTAGACATGTATGTAACAAGGATTGGAAAAATATAGCATTTAGGATTCTCCAAGGATTGGTATGACTGAAGAGGTTGTCAGAATATTATGCATTTAAAAAAAAATGAGTTAAAGAGAAGATATGTTGAATGGTTTGTGGACTGAAAAGAGGAACTGTTTACCACAAATATTCATAACAAATGTTCATTAATTTTCCTAGCCTTTTTTTAATGTGGCCTCAAACTACAGCTAATAACTGTTAACCTTTTGGAATTTGATTCATTTCTAGTTTTCAGAAATTAAAGCATAAATACAGACCATGTTGTATTTTACCTTTAAGCTGTTTGCGAGCTTTTGCCAGCTCACTCATCACTCTGACCATCTCTGGGTTTGAGTATTTGTCATTGTGGGACGGCTGAAAAAACAAGCACAAGAGAAACAAAGCAAATCAGTTTAACTGAATTAAATCTACTAAAAAAAAAAAAAAATCATAACTAAGTGTGGTCGGAAAATTTCGATTTCTCTTATTTCATATGTTGATTTATCCTATTTACTCACTATAAATTTTTCTGTCAGTGTTTCACCTGCAAGGCCAGACAATTCCCCTGCATGAGGGTGTTTTCAGACAGGACCTTCTTCCCATAACAAACCAGATTCTTTCTCAAGCTTCATTCATAACATTTTACTTTTTAACCACAGTGTCTGTAGTTTCTTTTGACTCTGACAACTTTCAGTTATTGCAAGTAAGGGGGAACAAACACTGTCCAGGCAGAACAGGGTTGATTACCAAGCACTAAAGGACTGTATGATGACCTGTTATCCATTGATCTCCATTTATTTAACTGGGGTGTATAGTTGAATACTTTTTTCCCACTACACTAAATAAGTTTACAAACTGCATCAATGAGTAGTTCAGGTTTTTCACATTACTGACATTGGAAGTTGCCCAGGGTGCCATTCAAAAGGGGTCGAACCATTGCCAGAATATACAATTAAATAACAGATAAATCAAATGCATTATTTCTATTGCTTTTCCATGCATGCATTTCAATTAAGTTTAGGAACCCCATATGTTGGGTAGAGTACCTTAACCTGCTTATTAGTATGGGGGTGCTTTCTGCAGAACTGTGCTGCCTTTTATACCTACTAAAAATTTCGAATTAGTCTCTTTATTCTTGCTTAAGGGGTATAGAAGTAGGCACCCACCTATGAGTCACAGTGAGCCATTGTCTTTGGTTAAGGTCATATTGCTAATTTTAATAATTCCTCTTTTATTTTGTTTTAGTAATGTTGTACTTAAAAGTATAGTGCCAGTTAAAAGTTTTAACACACATTCTCATTTTTCTTTGTTTATAATACTACCTCTAGGAACTTCTTAGGATACTGGAAAACCATTTTAGGTGACTACCTAATGAAGCTATACCAAACGTATGGAAAGCAGTAATCAAAACAGGTTCATGGCTTTTATTTAGAATCACATATTTAAATTTAAACTTTGATAGGTAGTGTATATAAAGAAAGGAAGGACCCATTTTCCATGCTTAATATTTTGGTCCTGTTCTACTCTGTTGTTGAAAAGGTATCTGATAAAGATTTACATCAGCAAGAAGAAGGAAAATTTGCTTTTTAAGTGATTTAGGCAATCTGTACTTGAACAAACGACAATGGTAATGTTGAGTTACCTTGTAGTTCATTTCCTGCTCAAACTGATCTTCAAACCTGCGAACCCTCTTCTTCAGGCTCTGAATGTGTCGGGTTAGGAAAGGGATAGATGTGGGACATTCATCCTCTGAAACCTCATTCCTGTCCCCCAGACTCCTGCACCTATAGCAGGATGATAAAGTTCAGATTAACAATGTATTTCAGCAGACCATAAACCACAAGTTAGGGCCTTAGTCACTTTACATTAGACTTATGTGTCCGTTTTCTTTTTTTTTTTTGTCAATGATACCCTTTTTGGTTTGTAAAGAACACTCCCCGCTTATTCTGATGAAATTCCCAAAAGGCAGCATATTGGACATAGATAGCTCCCTTAATTTTCAATTTTACAATAGTCTAAATGTTTGTTAAACCTTGTCTTCCTTTAGCAGTACACAGATTCAAATAAGATGGTATAAACATGATGCTAAGAGCGCCTAGTGAGACATGAAAACCACCAACTAGGTCATAGGCACATTTTGCCGCCCTGCCTCAAGCTTTGGCTGTAAAAATATTAAAGGAAACTAATGGAGCTGGTTATATAAGATGCATTAACGAAGCAGAGAAGTTGAAATCAAAATTATCATCATCAGTTTAAAAAGTACTTTGACTAAAAGTCTAGAAATCCAGGAAAAGTATGTTTGGGATAATTTAGTCAGGGAAACCTTCAGCAAGCAGTCCGTTCTGTTAATTTTGTAGCGTTTCTCTTGGCTGTGTTGCTTCCATTACGTTATATGGTTGATATTTTGGTCCAATCAGATTTAAGCCTCTGTGTGTTGCTTTGTCAATCAAATGTGGCCAGGGTCTTCAGTATCAGTATTGCTGGCTGATGTTAGATTAACAATACTAGTGAAGAGCATTTTCTTCAACCAATCAGATTTCAGATTTGCCCCCCTGGGCTAGCTAGTGGACCCAACCAAATGTCAGCATTTTCTGTCCCTGATTGGTGAGTCAGAGCAAAATGTTTACAGCCAAGTTAAGTGGCAACAATCTGCATTTTAGATTTACTTTTGTTAAAAGTTTTTTGTTGCCTCAATGGCTGATACTAAATGGAGATACTAAGACTTCCTGCACAAAGACAGATGGATGTATTTTGTTGATTAATAATCAGCATCTCTGGTGAGTGTCATATATTTTATTTTCCTTCTTTAGGCGCTTTTTATCTGGTAGATGGATACATATTAAATCTGAACAGCTCCTGTTGCTATTAACTTGGTGGAGCTGTGGTTATAGAATAGTAGATTGTCATTGTATTAACTGGGACTCTTGGTCAATTGATCTCTATATTCAGACTCACACTAATCTTCCTCTCGGTTATACCCATGCTTGTGATATTTCATATTTGAATACTATTGGTGGTTTCTTTTACTAAAATGTAAAAGTGTACAATCCAACATAGTTCTGAACCTAAAACTACTGTGGTCAAAATGTATACTTACTTTACAACCACCAAAACACTCAACTAAATAATTTGCACGTAAGGAACATAACTTTAAGATAGACTTCCTGAACTTGACAAACAACTAGCATAACAATTTTTAAGCCTAGTCCTAAAACAATTCTTAAACACAGACCTACAATAGGTCAGACCTACAATAGGTCAAATCTTACCAACTATTTTGAGCAATGTGTCCAAATGTATTCCAAGAAAAAAACAAAACAACATAACAGTTAATTGGAAATACAAAACTACCAAGTTCCAGCTCTAGATTTAAATAATACAATGTAATAAATTACTGTAGAAGGCTAAAGGAACATCCACCTTTGGTCCACACATCCCATCAGCTAAAAAAAAAATATCCAAAGATATTTGATGACATCATAACATGGATGTGGCATGATCCAGCATTTCCAGTATCCAAAAATCATTGACTCATCTAAATCAATGATATCCTGGACATCAGAGGCCATTTCCTGGTATTACCTAATTTAATGACTGAATCGCCACATATGCTCTTGTTTTGCAGAAATCTGCATATGCCAAATTTCCTCAAACAAGGGTTATCAGTCACCAGTCATCAAGACTGGCAACATTGTGTGGCCATGATTAAGACAGCTGAATTGCATAATAGAATTGTTACATAATTAAATTTAACTATTAAAAACATATAAGATGCTGTCCCTTGAGGACGGGAGTCTGATGCCGATTCTTTATACCAAAGTACCTCCAACATGCAAAACAATGGCCTTGGCAGAGTGGACACTCACAGAATGTATTGCTGGCTGCAGGGTGGTGATGGAGCTGTATCTGGGTCAGAGTTGAACCTCAGGCTGGGACTACAGCACCGCGGAGAAGGCAGAGGACTAGGGAGTCCTGCCAACAGCTGGAGCAGAGCTCCACCTCCTCCCTGTGATCCTTCTCCTCCTCCCACCTCAATTCCAGGACTGCTCCTCTGTGGGGATTGATGAGGACTGGGGGAGAGCACTCCCTCAGAGACCAGGGGCTGTTGGCTGGGATGAATGAAAGCTGGTGGCTGATGTCTGGGGGGCTGTGAAGGTCTCGTTAGGACTGTCAGGAGCTCTGCTGAACAAAAATGACAGATAAATGGACCATATGACTCGTGTGTATTTCATTAAGACTGTCATTTCCCTTTTTTTTTTTATTCACAGTGTTTTTATTAATCAAATGCTTGTAAATAAGTTCCTACATTATAAGCTCATTAATACCCAATGTCAAGGACAGCAGCTCACAGACTTGAAATAGAAAGCAAGTATGAACAGAGTTGAAAGGCAGTTTAAATCACCATAGAGGAGCTGTAGGAGGTCAGTGTGCTTCACCGTTTTACTTCTGTGGATATAAATAGTGCATTGCTAAGGGGCGGTGGGAGGCTGAAAACACACACGCATTAACACACCCACACAGTGAGAGAAGTAGGTAGGAGCTGATTCATCAGAAAAAAAAAAATAACACGCAGAGACAAAAATCTGAAAACATTTCAGCTACTAAGAAGGAGCCAATGAAGGAAATCATCCTTTAAGATAGATAGATAGATAGATAGATAGATAGATAGATAGATAGATAGATAGATAGATAGATAGATAGATAGATAGATCTATGTTAAGACAAAAATAGCATGGTGGGGGCAGAGACCAATAGGTGTACCTGGTTGGTGCTTCTCATCTGTTGGGGCTCTGTGGCACAGTGCTGTGGTCCTCCCATCCTTCCCTCCCAGCTCAGCAGGGACACAGGCGCTCTTATGTTCCTTACTGCCCAAAGCAGGTGGGCTTTCTTCTGGGGATAGCCCCTGCGAGGACCCCCCCTCTACATCCAGAGCCTGGAGCTTAAGCAGAGAACTCTGCAGGCAGAAACAGAACATGCCAATACACCGATCGAGGGATAAACCAGGTCCCAAGACGAATGTGTCCAAAAAAGCAGTTCTGTCACTGAGATGGGTCCAGATATTAATCCGGTCCCTGGATCATGTTGACAGGGTAGGAACATGTATTTTTTGCTGCTCCAAAAATCATGATGTCCTTTAAGTTAAAGGATAACTCACTCAGCCTTCAACCCAAAAAAATAGCCTCATCCCCTGTGGTCAGCCACATATGAAGAGATTGAACGCAGATTATCCCCTTTCAGCTATGTGCTCCAGGTGTAAATCTGTTGCAGTAAAATCCAGAAGCATGGATAATAATCTCCTGATCCCTTCTTCCAGTGCTGGTAGTGAGCGCTTTAGGAATTAGCACGCTCCGATCAGACTCTGCTCAGCAGGATGATTTTTTTGAATCCTCAGCCTGTCGTTTTGCACGTTCACTGATGATGATGATGGTGATGATGCAATGGTCTCCTCCCTTCCTCCCCTCTCTCTCCCACACTGTTTGAGCACCTCTCTCGTCTCCCCTCCCTCCCTGCCTGGATTACTCATCCTCCGTCTTCTGAGGAAGAGCAGGGAGGAGGAGAAGGAGGATAGAGATGTTTGCTTGCGTCAGGGTTGGGGACGTGTGGGGATCATGTCTCTGTCTGATGGTGAGGTTTTTCCCGCATCAGAGGAGGAGGGCCCTGCTGACATCATCATCTCCATTCATAAAAGCACAGGAGGAAAGAGGAGAAGGAGGAGGGGGAGGGACGTCCTTTTCCTCAGGGCAATGAAAGCTGCTACCTTGCTGCACACAAACAACCTTCTCTTCATCAGTGACCCAAAGAAACAATTCAAAATGCTGCTCTGTTTTTGGGGTTAATGTTGTAAACAGTCTGATATGGTTTCAGGTCTGAAGCACAGATTATGAAACACAATAACATATTAAACCATTGCACCATTACTACCACAATGTGGTGATGCAAAAAACCTACAATAAGGTGACTCATTTAAACTTCATTAGCTTCATACTAAATCAGTGCAGTTATTATAATGTAATTATTTAAATATTTATGTAATGTACTGAATCATTTACTCAGAATTCTGTTATTTATAAAATGAGAGCATTGGAAATAAATTCAAGCTAAGAGAGACATGACTTTTTGAAAATATAAGGTTTTCCCCTACATCCGAACGTCCACTGGCTATTATCAGTTCTGTCTAATATTATGGTATACTACAAGGTTTTCCTTTGCCTGGTTTGTAAGTAATGTGTAAACAATGCTAGTGTCTTCTTTCTATTCTAACCAGTAAGTGACAACTAGATATAAAGATAAAGCATAATAATCAGCAAAAGCTTAATGAATGAACGAATAATAAATACACATGTAATAAATAGATAAATTCAATTCAGTGGCAATTCACAACATGTCACCTCAGGTCACCTAACAGAGATTATTTAATCAAATCATACAGACAAACTAGTTAAAGGTTTTCTCACTAAGGAAATCTGTTTGCACTGAGTCATTGACTTTCAGGTCAGAATTTGGATTTCAAGACAGAATTTTTATCAACCAGATGAGCATATAGTGACAGAAGACTATTATTTATCTATTTGATATTGGATAGCCCTTTGAGATTAAACATGTCAGTTAGGAGGGGTATCAAGAAACAGTTGCGCGCAAAGTGTCATTGATATTACAGCAGTCCCGTATGCAGCAACTGGGAAGGAAGAAACCTAAAGCGGAAACAGGATCAGTTTCAGTGCCCATGTGCCAAGGCCAGATAGGAGATCAAGAAGACAGAGGCAGATGCATAAAAAGGGATCCCAAAATGATTGTATCATAAGTTAAACAAAATTCCAAGCCAGTTGTACCTACATTTACGAGAAAAAGCAGTAGGGGTAGATTATAGCAAGGTGAGGAAAAGTGGTCTTTATGTCCTCCAGCAGCCTAAGCCTATAGCAACATAGAAAACCAATGTAAAGAAGACTCAAGCAAAAGATTCTTGCATATTGTCCTAATTCTAATCTTGCAATTGAAAATGATGGCTAAACTAAAATTCAAGCAATGTGGATAAAGAATAACTAGAATTCGGAATAACGAAAGGTGTATTTGACGTCAATCAAATTACAACTGGTTTATAATTGAATAAAGTAGAAAAATATTTTGTAAACACTGACTCATCATGACATATCTTATGGGGCGGTTCTTTAGTTAAGCTGAGCTTATAAACCTTCTATGTTCTACTTTGCAGTAAAACAAAAGGGTAAAAAGAGATACTTTCATCTGAGATACCTATTGAAAAGACAAAGTGAGAAACTGAAGGCATAATAAGATGAAAAAAAAAATTAAAAATCAAAACAAAAGCATTGAAATACTGATTTTCGGTGACCAGAATTTGAAGACATCCTGTATATACATATACACAGAGAGTGTTTTCTTTTTCTGCATGTATAACCACAGTTTATGCTAAAAAAAACACTTTACTTCAGTCTATTCTTAAACCTTTTATTTTTCAAACATCCATAGAGTTCAATATCAGGTTTCAGTTTCTAACAGTCAGCTTCAAGATTTTCTTGACTGCAAAATGGCAAGTCCATCAGCTACAATCGCAACATATCAAATATATAGAAACTATGGGAACATATTTCTTAATATACATATAAATCACTCGTAAACACAAAACATATCATTGAATATAAACACCTTTTTTCATGTGGTCCGAGCTAAACTTTAATGTCCAACATTACCTCAGTTACATTTAGCATCACATAAATTTATTACCTCTCTTCCTCTAAAGATAAATGAATTAACTGGCAGGTAACAAATGAAGAAACATGTCTTTAAGTTTAACTTTTATGAGCAAATCACTCCATCCAGAGACATTTGCTCAATTACAAAACTCCAGTCTGTCTACTGGTGGTGCACACCACATACAGTTACCCTTGTCGTCATGCAGAGACGGCACACCACTGATTATTTTACAAAAATATTGCAATAAATTCTGACTGGTGATACAAAACAGCTTCATACAAAATACACACAGCTTTCTACTCTTTTAAAAATGGTACAATGTACAGAGTTCAGAAATCTTTCTTTGAGGAAGTAAACATCCAAACTGCACATCTGTTGCAACTTTTTCATTTAACTCTGGTAGCATGCAAACGTCATGCAGGTAATGGTTTATTTAGCTGGAACACCTGACTTTTCAGTCATGATCCCAGCTGATGAGAGTTTATATTGAATCCTTATTGGATGGGGAGGGGAATCATCTGTAAATGCAGACAAGCTGCTCACAGACCTTTGGTGGTTCTCATTTTGCTGATGGTCTATTATGTAATTAATTAAACAGAGATCAGACCTTGTTATTCTTTTATATATTTAGCATTATTGTACTATAATATTATTTTGCAGCAGAAATATTTAGCTCTTTACAGAAATTTTAGATGTTAAGGTTGAGAATCTTGTTAGCAGTGACATCTAGTTGAAAAAAGTTAACACTACAGCAAGTGGGTTAAATTGTCTGCTAGTGTTTGTGAAAATAACTTGTTTATATAATCAGAGTGCTTGTTTAGAAGAAGATCAGAACAATATCAAATCCAGCGATAACAGCTTTCACATATTTCACACATCACATTTAGGCACATAGGGCAAAAAACTATATTTAAGGATTTCTCAGCACAAGAAAATTACAGTTGCAACAGTTAACCACCAGATGGCAGCAGACACTATCAGCATGGGAAAAGGCTGATTGTTTTTCTTTGTTACTGGAAACATATTTTCTTTTATAGCTGATCAGGAAAAGGTTGGAAGCTTAACTGGTTGTTATGTGAACATTTTTACACTGGTGTTAACACTCCCAGTAACGAAAGGAAGCAGACCCCAAACTAGTCAGAAATTGAGGAGGTAGATTGGGTTCATCGGCCTGGAAAAAAGAGGCTTGGGGCAGCATTTGTTAAGGCATTGATTTGTTTAACCTACTGACTGGAAATCTGCATTGACATTATGATTCGTGTTTTTTTTTCCCTCCTTGAATGGTAAATCTTTGCAAGAAATCAGACATTTTGGGAATCTTCTGCAGATTTAAGAATCGGAAGTATATAAACTATTTCTACTGCTACACATTATGATCAGAAGAATCCCTTAAAAGTTAAACATGCACTGACAAACAATCACCTGATTACTAACAAAGATCCGGAAGGTTTTTTACATGTTGGAAGTACTAAAAATAAAAGGAAGTTATAATTGAAGGCATCAAAGTGGCTATTCCTGCCAGTAAAGGTGTTATGTGTAACCTTGCTCTTATTCAAAATGCTGTATCTGAGCTCACAGGGTAAATTAAGCTTTTCAAAATGGCAGAAATAATGTGAAAATATTAAAAGGTTCAAATATTAGACCGTCAGAGCATAAGGGTTTCCCCCCCACCCAATAGAATAGGGTATGTTAGATTAACCTTCCTCAGCTTCACTGCCGTCTCCACTCAGGCAGGTATATTTGGGTGTATTTTTGACAATTAGGTAATTAGTTACAATTTATTAATGTAGAAGAAGGCTCTGAGGTTTCTGGCAGTGTTGGGCTTTGGCAGGCAAGTAACACAGCATTTTTTAGAAAGCTATCGGAAAAATATTGTGATCTTCCAAATGCATCAGGTTTTATCATCAGAGTCCCTTCTTGTAGTAATTACCAGGGTTTAAATTTGTTTTTGACTTTAATAAGTAAATATTGTTTCCTTTTGAATGTTGAGTTTCAGATTTGTTACAGTTAGAACTTCAGTAAAAAATCTCATATATGAATAATTTGAAATAATAAATAGATTCAATTATGAACACTATCAATAAAATATTTTAGTTTAAAGTAAATTAGTTCATTTACAAAAATTGTTGAGTGAAACTAATTATAAAGTAAAAATAATTGATTAAAAAAAACCTTTACAACTTGGTAATCAATATGGGAAGGGATACATAAATAAAAGCTAACAGAACCAGTTGAGAAAATGTACTGTGAATACTAGGAGAATTGTGACATCTTAGGGGTTTTCTTTACCTATTTCTTATAAATTTCAGGGGATTCCACGTTCTGGCAGCTTTCTGAAGGGTTATTTTCAAAGCAACAACAACATTTGCAACTGGATCAGTTATTTTCTTGCGCAATTTTTTTGGGACAAAAACTGTTAGAAAAACAAATTGGGATTAAAGACCACTATGGTACTGACGGAGGAAGTTCTTCTGAGGCAAAAATCAACTCAGAATCATAGAAAACTGCAGCAGTATTCCATTTGGCTCAATAGTTCATTCCCAACATCTTCCAAGAACCAGAAGGAAAATCAAGCATGTAAAGCCACAGAGTATAACTCCGCCCCCTCTGGAGTTTCAGCTGCTTCATTGCTCAGCCCTGTTTGAATGACCTGATGCATCAATGTAGTCTTTCCAATGAATAATTTTCCTTTACTTTCATCAACACTTCAGGCTCTTTTAAAGAATGATGAGTTCATTTCAGACATAAAGCTCCACAGTCAACTTTTTTGCCTTGTTGGTCTTCATCTGTAAAACCGTCTCAGAGAGGCAGACTGTTTAAAAGTCATAGTCCCATCCTGAATTATCATCAGGTGGCGGCTCGTCTGCGTCCTCTGGAAAACTGTCAAAGTTACTGGTATCTACTGGAGAGGACACCTGCAAAACAAAACAAAAAAAATGTAACTTACAGTAAAAAAGAAAAAAACAAAACAAATTGCAACGTTTTGATCTTAAGGGGGAATTTGACATTCCTTTCCACCTACCCTAGGTACGATGGGTGGAGTCAGTGTTCCTTTTCTCAGCCCTTCCCAGCTAAACCCTTCGAACCACCTAAACAGAGAAAAAACAGTTCATGGTATGATGATCTAAAGGATGATAAGAGGAAATCCTGTAGTTTACTCACTTGTGCTTCTGGATGTCCTTAACTCCATTTTTGAGATTTCCGAGTCTCTCTGATGGACTATCCCTGCAGACAAAACCAAGACATTATCAAAGGGCTGCTCATAAGCAGAAAGCATATTTTCTGGTATAGAAAACAATGCCTCCAACCTGCAGAGCTTCTTGATGAGGTTTGAAGCATTTTTTGTGATCTTCTCGGGGAACTCAATCATGTCAATGCCTCTCAAAATGATGTTGTATGTTTTCATTGGATCCGGACCTGAGAATGGGGGACTGCAGAAGCAAAATAACAAATAACTGTGTTACTCAAAACTATAAAACTTTATTTATTTTTCACCATCAGGTGTGTGAATCCTCACCTGCCAGTAAGCAGCTCATACATCAGGATCCCAAGAGACCAGTAGTCTGCTGAGACATCATGACCTTTGTTCAAGATGATCTCTGGAGCAACGTACTCCGGCGTGCCACAGAACGTCCATGTCTTCTTGCAGACGCCGATCTTCTTTGCAAAACCAAAATCCACCTGTAAAGAGATCAACAGGTTGCATTTTTAAGGTGTATTTACACAAGAAAAGTCCTTTGGTCCCCTTGTTTGGTCAAGAGAAAGAGCAGAGTTTATTTAATTTTTTGTTAGGTCAGGTTCACTGACAATAATTTGCAACAAAGCATATGACAATTGCTGCTTACATTAGACAGACAGGTATGAGAGCACAGAAGCAAAAATCCTCCATTGAACACGTCTGTTTAAATATTGTGCAAAATCATAAAGACTTTGAGACAGTCTAAGAATTAATCCTCCAATCCAAATGAGATCTGCTGAGACTAAGCAGTGCTGCTCAGTAAAAGATGGCAGATTAGATCTGATTTCAATACTATATTTACTACTATGATGACCTAGTAGGCCATAGAGAGTTATGCTTTGTTTTTTTGCTTTATTTGGGTCTGATAGATTTTGTAGGTAGCCCCGAACAGAGCGGCACCAGGTTTGGTTTGGAAGACGACCAAGACCAGCTCAAAAGGTACGGCTCAATCCAAATACGTCAAAGTATAGGCCTTACCTTCCGTCCCTAGCGCCTATTCCTTCACTTCACAAACACATATGAAGATAAGGACAGTTGAAAATGTCACACACCTACAGTGAGGAAAATATTTCTTTTTATTGTAACTCTGTAACACTAAGGAATGTGGGCAACAGCATAGCTACTAGGGACAGCTAGGGATTAGAATCAGTATAAATTGGTTTGCACTTATAAACCTGGATTTCAGGAGGTCCCTATGCTAACTGCAGTAGACCAAGGAAGTATTCTGCTTCCAGGTCCAAGCGCCATAACTGCCTGAAGTATTTAAAGCCTTTATTATGGCTTAAGTGTTCTTATTGAACCAATTGCTGGGGGGCAAGGGAGTTATATTTGGTCTTTTTACAGTATAGCAGCTCAAATGCAGCAGGTGTTAATACCCTCTTTGAGTCTTTCCACAGGAATTTAATGGTAATTTCACTTTCTATCAAAATGTTGTAAATTTAAACAAAGTTAAAGATTATCAACATATAGGATTTATTCATCAAAATTGTTTGGAACCTATTAAGCATAATAGACACAGATCGAAAAGTCACAAGGATCCTGCGTGAGTCTGTTAGATGATGGTGGACATACCAGTTTGGCATATCCTCGATTATCCAGGATCAGGTTCTCAGGTTTCAGGTCTCTGTAGATGATGCCTTTGGCATGCAGGTAAGAAAATGCTTCAACCACGCAGCCTGTGTAGAACCTTGTGGTCAAGTCATCAAATGAACCCCTGGAATGAATAGAGATGTAGGTAAATATCTGTTTGGAGTTAATCAAATGAAGTTTCCACATTCAAAGAACAAATAAAACAAGAAATGTTTGATGTGAATTATGTTTATTGCAGTAAATGAGGACTGTGTTTTTAAGTTTTTTTTTCATCTGTAAATTTGTATTTAGACTAAATGTTCTTCAACAAGAGAATAATTGTGTGGAAACTGATTTAATTGAAACACTTGTTTAACAACAGTTATATACATTGTGTAATTAATCATACTAAGTGAAAATCCATAAACCATCATTTTAAAAACAACTTAAATGTTTTATTGTTTACAATTGTATTCGAATAAAATTTTAAAGGCTTCTTATAAAAAAATGTTCGAAAGTGAACTGATTTAGTTAGGGTTAGATAATCAATATTTTTTTATTTGGAGCTCCTGCAGTATTTCTAGAATTTGAATTTGTATGACCATGCAACCTGCCCTGCGATGGACTGGCAACCTGTCCAGTACCCCGCCTCTCGCCCATTGACTGCTGGAGATAGGCACCAGCACCCCTCGC